CGTGTGGCATGGCAGCTAGGCGCTGAAAGTCTGCAGTTGCAGATCATAGGCCAGGTGGAATGGGTATCAGCTAACCAGGTCGTCCAAAGCGGGCAATAGCCTCGATCCTGTCTATCAATCCGTGTCCTTGTCCGTGTGACAATAGTGCCCATTTTGAAAAAGGGTTTTTGCAGTGAATGTACTAACCATAGGAGTGTCAGTTGGATTCATCCTTTAAAAACACTTCTCGCGTCTCTGATTCTTCGTTGTTTTGCGGTGGAATGCGAAATCCTGGCTTTTGATGATTAAGCAGCACTTCGACTGCGTGGTGGCTCCGTCGACCACGTCTTCACACTCTGTCATGTGTTAGAGTAACGTCACATGGACACACGACCCACAGTCCTGGTGCTCCTTGACTTCAAGGGCGGTTATATAACCGTCAAATAACCCACTCAAATACAAGAGATCTTGGGAGGAGGCTGAATCTTTGTGGACTGCACTTCGCAGCTTCAGAGTGCAGGCTTGGGCAACCTGACAGTATCCCAGCCCTCGTGCTTCCTTCGGGTGGCATGGCAGCTAGGCACGGAAAGGGCGCTGCAGCTGAACGATTATTATTATTATCATTAAACGTGCTAGACTTCATTGGGGAAAGTGAGACCGTTAAAATGAAAGGCGACGTACCTTCTCCCGTCTTAGTGGTCTAATGGCATGACCGGAAGGCAAACACAAAACAGTAAGTTGCTTCCCGCTCCGTCAGAAAGACGCCAGGTTGCCGGCCAAATATAATGTACAGTCAGTCCTTTATATTTTCGGAGCTTGAACTCTTCACAATGAATTTGCATGCGGACTGCAGTTTTCCAAGCATCGCTACTTCCGCCAGTTAGTTTTTATCCGGTTGATTACTCGAATGGGCAGGTGGCTAGCACTTGTACTTGTATGTCGGACTGAAAATCCAGCCTTTATCAGCCATGTCATGTTCTTTCAACGTCTAGAGAGCGACTTCTTAACACATTTCCGTTTTGGAGGCTCTGATCGGACGAATCGATGAAATTATGGTGACGGTTGGCATAGTTATGAGCCATGAAACCATTGACGGCGCGGCTGGCTATTGTCTGTTGGATTGAGAAACAGGTGACAACCCTCAATATGACAGCTTACGGCAGTTGACGTATCGAAAGGAGACTCCAGCTGCCATGAAGTGCTCGCGGTTGAGGAGCAAAAAATAAGAATCATTCGGCTGCAGCACAATTTCGGGGCGAGATGGCTCAAGTGGTTGGGAAGTGCTCGCGAGGAGCAAAAAATAAGAATCATTCGGCTGCAGCACAATTTCGGGGCGAGATGGCTCAAGTGGTTGGGGCGCTAATTTACTTACTGCACGAAGAGACTAGACCTTACCGTGGTGTGACGGTTTGCGCACCTCAGCGATCCATTGAGCTATACTGGAGAGTGTCCCGCGACACTCACAGAGTCTCTCATACCAGGTTGGTCAATGGTTAGAGGTCTGACGAACACAGTCTCCTGGCCCTCCAAGTTGGGGGTTGGAACATGTGGCGACTTGTTCCGTAGAAATGGTAATGCATTTGCATTTCCCACCAAACACCGCTGCCTTGCGGTTAGGCTTTTGAGCCAAAGGCTTTGGTTGAAGACCCTAATCGTCC